TAATAAATAGTGTGGACATCCCTGGCAGAAAATTGAAGTATAATGGTATATTCATCTAAATGGCTTCATTATTAGCAGGGAATCCTGTATGTGGGATGGATTTGACTAAGGCTTGTCTACACTTCTATCTTCAAAACTTCTATTGAATGGAATGGAATTCAGATATATGTGCTGTAAGTATATGGGCTTGAAGGTAGGAATTCTGGGAAAGTTTGTGGAACAATGAATGAATGAATCAATGAATGAATCAATGAACGAATCTGCTAAGTGACATGAATGGGAAGATGAATTGAGATTAGGGTTTGGAAAAAGTGAATGGAACATTCTGAGAACCAAAAATAAATGTGAATGATGCCTGATATAGGTTTATTTTGAGTATAACATTTATGATCAAATAAACTCATATACACATGGCAAAGGAATGAATCTCGGTCAATATGAGTATGCAATTGTTTATAATGAACAGGTGAGAGAATTAGTGAAGGATAAATAGAAATAATGAAAAGTTCAGTGTTAAATAGGAGAAGCAAATAACTTATATGAACAAATTAAAAAAATGATTTTATAAGAACTGAAAAATTGAATTAGTCTCATTTCAAATTGTATTATCAAGCTATCTGTCAAGATTCTTTGAAATGGTTAGAATCACTTTATTGGTTTCAATATCTCTTAATAAGTAGAGTTTTAAATTACAAACGAGAATACTGAGGGAGTTAATCTTAAAAAACTATCTGAACAAATAAAAAATGTATGATTAAATAGTTGTAGAAATTAAACTAGACAACAATGGGAATATTAATGTAGACAAATATTAAATTTATTATTAATATTGCACTTAGAAATAATTGGTATTTATGTTTTATCAGTGATATATTACTGTAATAGGTAACTTATTTTCTAAAAATAGTTGGAAATGCAATAATCAAATTGGATCATTCTTTCATATTTAGTGGCAATCCTGTAAAGCTCAAGAATTTTGGAAGAATATTATTATTATTTTAAATTAATGGTCAAATACTCTTTCCTGCCATCCAATTTTCTCTTAAACATCACTAAACTTTATGTCTCTGCAAAGTATATCAAGTTGGCTTTATATATGAAATAGCCACTAGGATACTAGTACAAGAACCATATTTTAGACAAGAGATAATAAATAGGCAAATACAAATGACTAACATATTGTGAGATACTAGAATTTTGTCAACAAAAACTTAAAATCAAGAGAAGAGCTGGTAGCAGAGGGATATAGTTGTCAATTGTTTTCTTATTCATAGTTATTAGATTAAAGTAGACAAAAATTATGGTTTTGAACTTTATAAAATTGGATTTGAAGTAGAATTGTATACAAATGATGAATACGTGCTTGCTAAAATGTACAAACTTTTATTGAAATAGAATGGATCCATGATGGTTTTCAGGTAGGACAGTGCAATTTGAAACAAAAGAATCATACAAGAAATGTATGATAAAGTAAGCTAAAATTTTGGTTATACTATACAAATAGAACAGTGGGGAAATATGTGATTGAAAGCACTGAAGTTTATACTATGTTATATTTTAAACAGAATGTTTGTATGACACCAGAGAAATTATCTAGAACATGAACAACAAGAAGAGACATTTTATCATTTGATGAGTATGTACATAGCTAGAAAATTGGTTCAGAGAATGTTCAAAAATTAAAATTGAGACCAGAGATTATTCTTTTGGGACTGATGGACAAACAGTTGGGGAGAAAAGTTCCTTTGTGATACTGCATGATAGGTGCAATGAGATTATGGTATGCACAAAGATGGAAAGATTCAGCACTACCTTACAATGGAGAAATGGTTGATGAAGATGACACTTGCTTAGGTGGCTAATTGATAAAAAAAGACAATATCTACATGAGATGGTTAACTGAATTCTTTTATCAGAAAAAAGGCAAGAGGTAAATTTCTAATAGTAATGAACTGCTGTAAAGAAGATTAGTGGTTATTTCTCTATCATTTTTCTATTTTTACTTGTTTTTCTTGCACTTTTAGCTTTCCTTTTTATTTCTTTGTTTATGTGCGTGTCTGTGTGTATATATACATAGACACTGCATATATGTGTGTGTGTTTGCCTGAAGAGAAAAGTTTTTGATCAGTCTGTGCTACCTGCTCTAACATATGCCAGTGAAACAGGGACACTAACCTCACAATCAATACAAAAGCTGCGAGTGGTACAAAGAGCCATGGCACAAAGAGCCATGGCACAAAGAGCCTCGGCATTACAAGACAGACCTGCACATGGACTAGAGAACAAATGAAAGTATACAATATTATCAAGAGAGTAAAAGAATTGAAATGGAAATGGGCTGGTCACATAGCAAAAAGAACTGATGGAAGGTGCATCATAGAATGGATCCCACTTAATAAAAGGCATTTACAAAAGAGACCTAAAACAAGATGGATGGACGACTTTAGCAAGTATTGTAGGCCCAATTGCCAAAAGAAAGCTCAGGATCATATTGGTTGGAAACATGCAGATGTGGTCTTCATCCTGCAGTGAATAGACAATAGCTAAAATTATATATAGGTAGTCCTTGACTTACAAAAGTTCATTTAGTGACTAAAATTAAAGTGACACTGAAAAAAGCGACTTATGACAATTTTTTCACACTTATGACCCTTGAAGCATCCTCATGGTCACACGATTTACATTTGGATGCTTGACAATTGATTCGCATTTATGATGGTTGCAGTGTTCCAGGATCATGTGATCTCCCCTTGTGACCATCTGACAAGCAAAGTCAATGGGGAAGCCCAATTCACTTAACAATCATGTTACTAATTTAACGACTGCAGTGATTCAGTTATCAAATGTTCAAGAAGAGTTGTAAAATGGGGCAAAACTCAATTAACAAATTTCTCACTTAGTAACATAAATTCTGGACTCAATTGTTGCAAATTGAGGACCATCTTGTTTTATATATATAAACATATATGTTTCATTATTATATTATTATTATTAAACTAGAGCAAGTTTATGACTGTATTTTGTAGTATGCTTACTACACATGGGGAAATAGATAGAAAATTGTTAAGATGTGCAAATCCTGTTAGACAGGTAGTGGCTAGCATATAGTTATGAGGGCTGAAAGAAGAAAAATATCTTTCAACAAGAACTTGCTTCTGACTTATGAATATGAGAGCTGAGTAGAAGAAATATGTAAGTCAGTTGAATACAGTGAAGATTGGCTACTCAATTGATAAAACCAACAGGTAGCATCAAGATTGAATGGGGAAGCATTAATGTGAATTGAATACAGAAATAGTGATTGGCACAAAATTGTACAAAAATCACACCTTTGATGTCATTCAGCCATATAAAGATGATTATAATTATGAAAGTAGACACATTAGATTTCTAAATAGTGTTGGCATAGCAGAAGCAATTTATTGGGAAAGGAAGGGAAAGGGGGGAAATATGTTACAGAAGACAGCCTTATTTCTTAGTAGATTTGTATAGGATTGTATTAATTATACGTAAAATTCAAATTCCCACTTTTCCTTCAGAAGCCCAAGTGTCCAGAGCACTTCAAATTTCCAGATAACACACCTGTAAAGTAGGCCAGGCTGAGTGTGAATGCCCAGACTGGACATGATTGTGGATCTGTCTAATCATAGTCTAACACTTTAACCATTATACCACCTTGTTTATCGATACATAGTTACACATTATCTAATTTTTAAAAAAATGTATAAAACTATATGTTCACTGTTTGAACAAGGTTTCCAATGAACGATCAGCAGATGCAAACAGTTGACTATCCATCATTTACAAGGATATTGCTTCGCTTTTAGTGGCTTTTTCTGCTTTCTTAGAAAATCACCAGTGATCCCAAGAATGATACTGGCAGAAGCAGAATTCATTGCTGAGTTTGCAAGTTGATTGAAAGAGAAGACCAACCTAACTGGGAGGCATCTAGTTAATGAAAGAAGTATTAGGCTTTTCCGGGAAGGAACGTGAGTTTCATTGTTCATAGAACACCACAGACGGGGCAAGATTGTAAAGCGATCAAACCCGTCTGCGAAAATGAAGTGAGCCACTAGTCGGCAGCACACGTATTTTTCTGACTTCTTGTATTTCTCCGAATTTTTACTCATATCGGTAGCTTTAATTTTAGTGTTTTAATTTTAATTAATTTTAAAATAATACACGTACCAAAATATCTATGGATGTGATAGGAACGGTCTTCCCATAAAAAGGCTAGCGATATGCTGTAAAAAAAATTAAGACAGAAATGATAAAAGCGAAGCCAATGTTCGTTTTGAACCTGACCCTGCCGGCTACCGTAGACCCAGCGTTTTCCGGATAGTTTGACTGGTTGTCTAGCAACCGTATTCGGTAGGGTAGGACTTAGTTAGCAGGCTGGTAAAGGCGATTTCTGGGGTGGGGGGGCTTTGGCTCGGTGATACCGAAAAGTCACGGGCAAAATTGCAGTGGGGGGGGGGGGTAGTGGCAAAGAAAGGGGGTGTCGCTTGAGGTTGCAATTCTCTTACTTAGTTCACGAGATCCGTGGAAAGGAGTTACTTCTACCGAATAAGGCATAGATATCATTACGGAGGACTGCCGTCTGATCCTTTTCATCAAAGGGGTTAAAGCCCCAGTAAATGTGGCATTATTGGGCGAGTAAGCGTTGGTAAGATTTCGGCGCACCATAATTACTCAGACGTTGAAATTTACAAAAAAAAAAATTGTTTAGCTTTCTGGCAAAGAAGAAAAGGTCAAATAGCTCTACTTTTCTGGTTGATGCGGGAGGAGCCGTCTCTAATTTGTCATTTTGTTCCTTTGGGAAATAGGCTAAAGTTTCCATATAATTTTTAATTTGCAAGCCAATGATGAACCTTCAGCACTGCAGTCTTAATTCTCAGCTAGAATAAATGTGCATAATGGGTGTGATGTCCTGTTTTGGCTAATGCAATCTATTTTGGAATAAATTATTCTTCTGAAAGGTCAGATTACTGTTCTTTCATCCCTCAAACAAGAGCATATGTTAAAGGTATAATAATTCTATAATTTCAGTGGGAGAAGACAACGTGAATTTTAATTTGAAAAATGCAGGCTTTAATGCCCGAACCTCAAATTTATGTTGAAAGAACCTTGGCAATCATCAAGCCAGATGTTATCAACAAAGAAGTAGAAATAGAAGATATAATTCTCAGATCAGGATTTACTATTGTTCAGGTAATGCAAGAAAAATTTAGATTTCTAATTTACCTTTTTCAGGGCTATGCTTTCATCAAAGAATGACAAAAAAATGTTCAGGAACAAGGCCCAATTAAAGTGTGATCATGTTAGAGATGATACATATTATTTAGTTGTGAAACAGTTTGTAAGCTTATGTTGCAATAGCAATAACATAACTGAACTGGATGGTCTTTAATTACTACCCCAAACCAGTATAAATAGAGCAGTGCATATGTCTATTAGATAATTTTGTTATATGCTGTACGATGTATAACAATTGTTATATACTATTTTTTATAATTAAGGAAGTGCTAATGCAGCAGTTCTAGAAAAATATTATGGCTATAGATAAACTATTAAAGATTTCCACTAGATGTCACTCTTTCACTACTGGAAATTTTCAAATCAAAGACTTTTTGTTTTTGTAAATTCCATCTGAATATAAAGCCTTCCTGAAATAGTAACAATAAATTTGAATGACAAGTTTGTGATAAGTAAGGATTTCATTTTAAGAACTATAGTTCCAGTAATGTATCATACATTATATTTGTATTAAGAATTGGTATTTTGAGGCTGTCAAGAACCTGTAACTTATTACAAGCTCCCTATGACATCAGATGAACGAGTGGGAGGTCTAAATGGCTAATCTATATACTAATCAGAAAGGGCTTCATACAAACACATTACTGTGCTTTTATAGAAATATGATTATGCAAGGTATCATATTTAGAGATATTTTTCATATCTTTTATAGAAAAGGAAGCTTCACCTAAGTCCAGAGCAATGTAGCAACTTCTATGTAGAACAGTATGGGAAAATGTTCTTTCCAAATCTGACAGCTTACATGAGTTCTGGACCTTTAGTTGCAATGGTTCTTGCTCGGCAAAAGGCAATCTCATACTGGAAGGAACTTCTTGGACCCTCAAGTAGTATAGTAGCTAAGGAAACACATCCTGACTGGTAAATTAATTAATTAATTAATTAATTAATTAATTAAAACTATTTATCTTAAAATGAACTAACAGGTTTTACTATTGCACCTTTATAAGTATTATCAATTTGAGACTTTGCAATGTAATTATGTTTCGTATATTTAAAGACTTGTGTATCAGATTCAGATCTAAGCGATATAAAACTTCTCTGATATATTCCTATGCTGTCCTATGTACCTGCTGCATGGTTTAGGACTATTTTATAGATTAAGGATTATTTTAATAAACGAAGGGGAAAATAGAAGAATTGTGGCAGAGATCCATGTTACGTCTGTTTATTACATGGATTAAAAAAGACTCATCATAAGCTTAATCATTGCTAAGAGTGTTTGTGGGGATATTCTTATAACTCAATAAAAGTTACTGGCAGAGATCTATGTTATGTCTGTTTATTAAATAACAGGCTAAAAAAGACTAATCATAAGCTTATCTTAATCATTGCTAAGAGTGTTTGTGGAGATATTCCTATAACTCAATGAAAGTTGCATTACAGTCATACTAAATAGAAATTGAATCATTTTGCACTGCATCTGTGTGGGCATATCTGTGTTGCTTTTAGTTTAAGAGCAATCTATGGAACAGATGATCTGAGAAATGGACTTCATGGTAGTGCCAACTTTTCCTCAGCTGAAAGAGAAATCCGGTTCATGTTTCCTGAAGGTATGTATTTACCATCTTTCCTGCTATGAAGCTAAATAAACTAAATACCGGACATTGTTGTCTAATCCCATCACCCTATATGTATATACTCGGTAGAGGAAATAAATTTATTTTACATGTATATATAGTCATCTTTTCTCTAACTGTTGAAGGCAGCATAGATGGTTTCCTTAATTTTATCCTCCTAATAGCTAAACAGTGAGAGGAACTGAATCAGCTATTCACTCTTAGCTCCAAGTCAGTGTAAGTTTCAATTTGCAATGTTTTATCATAAATCCTTATGCTAATATGAGACAATATTCATTTGCAACTCAAAATAAAGTGTGCTACCACAAATGAGGTTGGTATGCATGATGCTCCTATTAGTATTTGAATTGGATATCTGCATATTTTCTGTAGGCAAGTCTAGATTATAATCAAGATTTTATTGCATTCCTAGCTGTTGTGAAGTTTATGGAGGTTGCAAGTATTTGAAAACATAATTCAAAATGCTCCAAATAGTAACGAAACATGTGACTGATATTGACCACTATGTTTGAGATGTGTTTTTTCTTTCATGGTAATCCTTCTGTTACAGTTACCATGTGATAAGCTCAGATGAGCTGTACCATATATCAATAATAAGGTCTTTGTGGCTCCTTTATACTTAAAACTTTTCTAGGTAAATAGAATAACAGAGTTGGAAGGGACCTTGGAGATCCTTAGTCCAACCCCATGCTCAGGCAGGAGCCCTATACCATTTCAGACAAATGGTTGTCATATCTCTGCTTAAAAATCTCTGCTTAAACCTTCCAGTTCCACCGACAAACTTCTGGAGGCAAGTCGTTCCCCTCAGTTCTAACTGTTAGGCAATTTCTCCTTAGTTCTAGGTTGGTTTTCTCCTTGATTAGTTTCCATCCATTGTTTCTTGTCCTGCCTTCAGCTGCATTGAAGAATAGGCTGACCCCCTCTTCTTTGTGGCAGCCCCTTGATTTGTAATTCTAGAGAAGAAGATTCAAAAGGAAGCTGTCTGGGAAAAAAAAATCAGATTGTGGTTCTTGAGATGGCAGTATCTTTGGCAGGAGACCCAGCTAATGCTCCAATTGAACTTCTGTAATGTTCATTGTAACTTTCCTATGTGGTGATGTGGTGACGCTACTCATCTCAAATGAGTTTATGTATTGAAATCTCTTCCATGCCACTTAGTCACCTATAGAATAATATAAACTGATTTAAAGAAGAATTATTTCTATTTGGATCCCAAGTTCAATATGACCCTTCTGGCATTGTGTTTGTTTATTATCTGGCAAATGAGGTATGATTTCAGATAATCTTATCTGAAGAGTCCATGTGGAATCAGTGGGATACAAATATTATATATAAAAAGGCTTTATTTTTTTACTGACCCATGATTATGAGTAAGTTTACAATGTGACAGAGAGAAAAAATCCATAAAATTTACCACTTTGTTTTTACTGAAATACAGTACTGTAGTTTTCTTCATGACATTCTTGTCTGGAATTCAAAAATAATAGTGATTTCAGCTTGAGATGCTATTATTTAGGAGAAGACAAGCATGGAATATGTGCTCACCAATAGAAGGCAAATTATTGGTTTTAATTCAGTATGTTAAATGTATTTCTTTCAGTATTTATTGAACCAATTCCAACTGGGCAAGCTGCTAAAGATTACCTTAACTTATATGTCATACCTACTCTACTGAAAGGACTTACAGCGCTGTCTAAGAAGAAACCAGCAGATCCTTTTGTATGTATCAAGAAAGACCCATATCAAGAGACAGAATGAGTATGAGATAACAACTGGTAGCATTCCTTTGCTAACAAAAAATGTTCTTTGCTTCATGACAGATAGAAATCCAAAGGAAAAAAATTGATGGTTGATAAGAGCAATAGTTGTTTATATGCATATTGAGTTTGGTCCCTTTAAGCTAGAATGCCCATAATTGGTGAGCCTTTGTATTTCAGGAGCAGTCTAGACTGACTGCCTCCTTTGTCAGCACCTATTCAGACAAACTGGTACATTTTCAAAAGCAAAAAATCATGAAAAGAAAGGTTTAGGAATTTTAAGGTGTTTCTACTTTCCTCACTGCTTTATAAAAGAGAAATATTAAAGGAAAGTTGGTCAGTAGAAATAACAGAGTATGAGTGCCTCCTATTAGCAAACGGTATCTTGATACAGAAATTAAACGAGGAATTTTATTGTTGCTCTTTTTGATAGATATGGCTGGCTGATTGGCTAATCGAAAATAATCCAAATACACCTAAGTTGCGGCAGAATGTGATTGTGGAGGAACCTTAAGAGAAGAGACTGCTAGTTAAATCTTAACCAATTTCCTGCAAGTATCACAAGTTGTAATTTTAAAATCATTTTTATATTGAGAAATACTACTAATTGGAATTTGTAGATATAAGAGTCAAATATACATATTTAGATCTTAAACTAATAAAGAGTATTTGTTGCAATTAAAACATAAAAATAACAAGTGTATTTATTTGTCTAGTTTTTCAACTGCTGGGCTCTGGCATATTTGCATGCTGCAAAACATCCACAGGTGTGCCCTATAAGTGAGCCAGAGTAAATGACAGGAAGTGCTGCGCAGCTAGAATCCCATCTTCGTGACTTCACTAGGGATGGTCTATCTCCATTTTTCAATTTCTCCACCTAATTTCCAACAATCTGTGATGTCACAAGACTTCCAGTTTCTCCACCTTGAAGTCCTTCCTATGAGATATGTGCTATAAAATAAAAAAGGCTGAGAGCCACTCATCTAGTTTATATCTTACAGTTATCCAGATGATAAAAACAACTAACACGAGGATCTCCATTATACCCCAAAAGCCTTGTGAGAGAAGTTGGTCTCAGAGTGACCAGCTAAAAACTACTCACTTTATAGATGGATTTGAAATAGACTCTCCCTAGTTCTTGTCCAGCGTGTTAAGTGCTACAACAAACTGCCCTTAGTTGGTATAAGGTTTGTTATAGTGACTTTTTAAACTATGTATAAAAGGATAAATCCCAATTAATTTGCACAATTTTTTTATTTGTATTGAAAGCAATTTACTTATAAAATCATAAATATATACTTTCATTGATGCATGCAGGCATTGATAGTAAAGTAAACATATTTGGACAGATGCTTATTCAACATTTTAAAGATTTTTTTAGATCAAGATATAAATATTAAGTGAAAATAAACACTTATCCAGTTTTCCTAATTGAAATAGTGAAATTTCTCTTAAAATATAAATATGCAGTTTATTACTCAAACTGGCTCCTGCTTCTCAAGATTGGAAAGTATCTAGTCTATTATTCCTATTTTTTAAAGGAGTTCCTGAGTATCCTGGATCCAAATAATCATAGCTAACAAGGCTTGATCTGGATAAACACATATAAAGTATTATTAATAATACTGAATATTCATAAATAATAATAAATAATACTGAAACCTTTAAAAAAGATCTTACCAAAGGAATCCTACTGATATTTTTTTTTAAATGTGGCTCACCAACCTGTTGATGTCTGTAACAATTCCATGTGGCTAGTAGTGGCCTGATGGACACAGTATATAAGAAAAATATTTTGACATAGTCTCTCCAAAATGTCTCTGAATAAATGTTATATTGATATAAAGGAACAGAAGCATAAGATAGACATTTAACTAAAGAATAAGAAGCCAAGAATGGTTTTTAGAATTGGCAGGAGAAAGCAGTGAGGTCTTCCAGAAATCTGCATGTGGATTATTGTTGTTTAAATTGACCCTGGATATTTTGGATTTAGAGTTGAACAAACAAACCATCCATTTTGCAGATGACATGAAATGATTTAGTACTTCATATTAGGGCAGTACAAAATAGTGCACTTTTAACCATTATAGTATTATTAACAAAGGCAGATGGTTGAGTTCATATACTGTACATAGCAAACTAAAATGAGAGTGTGGTATAGCACAATGCACGTCCTTACTATTTCATGTTTAGGAATATCATTGTACTATGGTGGCTGTCTCAAAATATCAACTCATGGAACATCAGTATAAAATATTTGTGGATTTCCTGCAGGCCTGTTACTAAGCATTGGAAAACTAAATGCTGGGCTAAGTAGACCTTCATTTAAATTCAGCAGTGTCTTGTTCCCTATTTCCTTTAAGAATAGTTCCTCTGTCTAATACAGTGCAATTTAGTTGGAATAGAATAAGAAATGTATTTTTGTGTCTGTCAGGCAAGTTCACAAACTTTGCAGTACTGCAGCTGCCCCTTTGATGTTTCCCCAGGCAAAGTGAGAATCAAAACTCCCAGCAGACTTTGATGATTCTCCTTTATCTGAACAGCTGATGGAGTTTTTTAAAATTCCAACCTATTTATTTCATCTATTATTTTTTTATTAAAATATCATTTACTTAGCCTGTACTTTGCAGGAAAAAATGTCCTTGATCTGCATTATTTTCCAAGAACAACTTTACATTTAAGGTGTTTATAGAAAGTAATAAATACCAAATATTAAGAGCAAATAATTCACTAATTAGATAGATTTTTCATATTACTTTAGCATTATAACATTGCTAAGTCTTAACCTTGATAAGATTATTGTACCTTTCAGTGATTCAACAAAAGAACATCTAATTGGTATTTCTATATTATTTTGGTATGGAAGGAAATATTCTGATTAAAAATATGTCGAAGAAGAATTTAATGAATAAGATACTCAGTCTGGAGAATACTCCTGTTGCTAGGCTATATTCATTCATTCAACCTTTGCCTTCTGAGCTCTGAATACAATGTTTTCATGAGATACCTATACTTGTGTGAATGAATCAAACTCATGAAACTTAAATATTTTTAAACGTTACTCCTTTAATGTTACATATTTCCTGAGTTCTAATAGTATTGTAATTAATCTTGTAATTTAAGAGATTAGAATCATTAAGTGGCCATTGTATTGCTTATAAAATGAATACAAGTTACTGGCATAAAAGGACTAGATGAAAACCTCAGTTTACTTGTTTTTCAAGGTGATTTGAATTTACTCATCATATCTCGAGACAGATACAGAGGAGTTTGGTTGAAATGTTGTTCCATAGCCATGAAAATGAGCCACTCCATTTGAGAGATGTGGATGAGGAGTAAGAATTTATTGGGCTATAGCCAGGCCTGAGGTGGTTGTCCATTAGGCTGAGCATTATCTCCTTTCTGAACATCATTGGAAATGTTGGATAAGAACTGCACAATTAATAGCTGACATCATGATCTACATATTTATTAAACTTTTTTGATCCTTTTTTTGCTGCTCATCAATATAAGTGATGAAGTTATTCTCTAATTAATTAGAATTATTTAAAAGGGAATAACCGTAGAGTGTGACAGTCTTGATACTATCTCAGTTAATTTAAGAAATGGAATGGAAAAGGAACAAAGAGAGAGAAGGGAATGTTCAAGAAATTGATATCTGTCATATCATAATCTTTATTAAAAGCTAAGACACTTTTCCCTTCAAACAAGACATGATGTTATACAGCAAACTCCTCATTGGCATAACTTGAAGAAATTTCTCAGCTGTATTGAGAGTTTGATGCTTTCCATTACTACCTCTCCCCCCAAAAGTTTGGTTCCCCTAGAGACCCAAACATGTCAGAAGCAGGATTGATCAGCATTGTATCCAAGAGAATGGCTACTGACCGAATTGCTTTGGTACCAACCCCCTGCCAGTTCATGATGGAATGGCATTACCCTCAGCTTGGTGGGTGGGTGGGGTGGGGAGGGCTGTCTCTTATTCCTGTCTTCAGAATTGTGGCAGCAGTTAATGGCAAGCAGGTAGGAAAAATGCTAGATGAATGGAAGAATAATGCTGCCCATCATGAGAATAGTGTCTTTTAATTTTACTGCATGACCATCTTTTCATAGTGATAATTTATATAATATTCTTTTAAATCTAAATTTAAGCTCTATTGGAAAGATATTTTAAATGAAAGTCTTATTAGGTTAGAACCTTATCAAAATGAAAAACTCATTTGTTTGAGAATGATCCACTGAATCCAATGGGCCTCTGAATAACAGATTTGTTAATTCAGATAATAGCTTCTCTCACATAAATAATATCAGTCTCGTACACAGATAAATTAAAATACAAGGATATATTTCATTAAAACAATGCTTTACCTAACAGAACACCAGCTGTTATAATGAATGGAAAACACCACATTACAGAAGACTATTTTACCATACATTTTTTTTATATATAAACATAGTTATTTGTTCCTCAGTCATATTTTTTATTATTCTGTTTACTTCGTGACAATTATGTCTGGAGCAAACCTGTTTAGACTTGGATAAGTCATTCCATAGGGTGGGGGGAAGGGCAGGGCAGTTTTATGACATTTGCTTTCATGGCTTCCCACCAGTTTTTTTTTAAACAAGATTGGAGAAAATCGTTCTGTCAAATTGTTCCATTTTTGTTAGTATGAATTCAAACAGAACCAGAGCTGAATATATTTGCAAATAATTTGTGCTTTGGGAGCTTTTGAAAGAGGACAAATAGAAGTTCAGCAAAAGAAAGTTTTTTACTAACTTCGCAATGTAATAATGGGAAATCTGCTTAAATTTCTTTTAATGCAAAATGAGTCCTGCCAGAGAAATAGGAAGATGCTTGGATGATATTTGAGAATGGACAATCTGTGGCTCCCCACACCTTTCTGAACTATAACTCATGCTGTTTATTACTCATTACTCACCATGTTGACTGGAGCTTTTGAACCTGGAATACAACACATTTGAAAAGCCACATGGTTCCATATCCGACTCCAAGTTACATAAAGAGGCATAACTGAGCAAATACAGAAAAAAATGATCTTCCTGTTGAAAAAAATAAAAATGGGAAAAACGTATCCCATTGAACAAAATATATAAACGTATATGGATCTTATATGATCTGGGATGCATTTTCAGTACTACTGCCATGGGACTTGACTATAGCATGATAAAAATTAACTGGGGCCTTCCTCCATTTTAAAAAAAAATCAGATATATTTGGTCATGTTTTGTTTCTGCAGAAATAAATTCAGTTTTAATTCAGTTTTAAATTTAAGATCTGCATTATTTTAACATTTGTTCTGTATTTTATTCAATGTCTGTAAGTCTCCTAGAGTTGCCTCCAATGAGATGGGTTGCATGCAAGTTTGATAAGTAAAAGAAATAAATGCAGATTATTATTTTACTCTTCTGCTCTGAAGAATTGAGAGGGAAAAGGAAAATGACATGAATCCTCAAAGCTGCATTTTATTTGGGCTAGGCTGACTTTTTTCCCCCTTGGCAGTTGTAAACATCTCTTCTTACTGGGTGGCATATAGGATGGAATATAAGGGATCGCAACATTTGGGGTGTAGCTTCCTTCTGAGGTAGTGACTCTTTGCTCTCTTAACGTGAGAACATTCCACAGGGACTTTAACATATGTATGTGGATGAATTGCCTGCTTGTA